CGATGTTGAATAAACTGGTTCGATAGATCCCTATCTTGGCAATGCTATTTACCGATCAAGGTCATTCGATGACGATTCAACATTCCGAATGCCTACCCACTGGCCTACAGTGGATCGAGTCAACCAGAGAGGTCGGCCAGGAAATTTTTTACTAAAACTGCAAATTTTGGTGTTTATTTTGCCATATTTTAAATTTTAAGGGGTGCTTCTAGAAAAAAATTTCACGAGTAAACCAGTGGAATCACTTACGGAGCTTCGAAATTTTGTATGAACGGAGTTAAAATCTTTTAAAGTTTCCAAATTTTGTCCAATCCCTCCAATTAACTCGATCCACCGTGCGCCGGGAGACTTTAACGCATGGATAAGAAAAAGAACCAAGGAAAAACGAGTCGAAAGGGGACTCTTTTTGTAGAAAAGGTAGGGTTACTGTAAGCCATCTTTCACCTAGCTCAACTCTTCTTCTTAAACGACAACAGCAACAACAACAACAGCAAAAACAACAACAACAACAGCAGCAGCAAATAAACATATATATTTTGAACATCTTTAGAATCCTGTGTTTTTTGGCGTACGCTAAAGTAGTGCCGGTTTTTTTTAATCTAAAACAAGGACAGTTGAACCATTTGGATCGAATTTAGCAAAAAGGAACCAGCGCGATTACAGTGTTTTCAAAATCGTTTCCTCCATCATTCAACGCTGAATGATATTCGATCACAAAATTTCGCTTGTAGCGTTGTTCAATAAGCCATACCTTGCTCTAGAGGCCCATTCGCGGCAACAATGTACCTCCATCTGCATACACGAGAACAGTTTCTTTTTGCGTCTATTACGGGGAATAATTCGCAGAGGCCGAGAGGTATCTCCCACGCATTTGATATTCTTCATTCTTGGCACTAATCTAGGTCACGCTTGTTTTCATTCGGCATATCCTCCATTCCCTCCCTCCCCTCCTGTTGCGACCCATTCTTACAACGTTGCTAAATTGTTCTGGCTAATTGTTCCAATGTTTCATTCGAACGTTTGCTGTCGGTGAACTTTTACGCCCGATTTTGCAACGAATGCCCCTCACACAGAATAACGTTGCAGAAGTCAATGATCGCTATAATTCTCGCAGACTCTGATATCCCCCGTGTTGCCTTTCAACGCATTTTATTTTTCTTTTTTAAGCTTTCCTACTTCTTCACTTTTAATCCCTAGATTTGAAAGCACACTTTCATTTTCAAATGATGTCTGTAATTTTTCGCTTCCGTTGACTTAATTTTCGGTCAAAAAATCGAACAAGAATCGTTTTTGCAAAGAATAAACTACATGTAAATCGAAATATATAATAAACTAATAAATGGATTGCATTTTGCAATTTGGACCTATAAATTCTGGCTCATCTGAAAAAACACTTATGTGCATAGAGAAAATAATGGCACATACGTTGTTTTTAAACCGGGCCGGAATTTATAGGTCCAAATTGCAAAATGCAGTCCAAATTAATATTGCAGGGTAATGTTGTACTTTAAAGACGTTTGCTTGGTTGACGGATAGAAGCAGATTAGATTCATAGGTTCTTTCAGATAAAACCAGTTAAACTATATCTTAGAGTCTTCGCAATAATCTCAAATCGGTCTTGTAAAATGAAGTCCAACTTTTTCGAAATAAAGTACGCATGTGAACAAAACGGACTGAAGAATCACGAAGAAGTAAAGATACAGAGACGCTCCATGGAAGCAATATCACTTTCTGGCCGCATATCAATTTCCAAAAAGCAAAATCACGCATCTTCATTACATTGTTTCAAAATGTCTGTTCCTTTTTTATATTTTCAAGGAGAGACAAGGCAACTTCATAGTTTGAAATTCATGCAGAGTATTCCTCTAACAAAGAAAGAAGATTATGGCGATTTTCAAGAGGTGACAGTTACAGTCGACCAGTTTTCGAAAGAAAAAATAAAGAAAGACAGGAAGTCTGCATCATCGCAAACGGATATACGTGGTTTCGCACTTAGGTCATGGATATGATACATGAAAGGCATCGGAAGGTGCGCTGGCGCCGGTTGTAGCCGGGGAGCGGATGGAAATTTCTTTTATTTCTAGAAGGTAAAAGTTACGACACACTTATTATCAATGGCGGCTCCCGGCCGGCCGAACCCGACCGTATACTTTCAACTGAGCGCTCCAAACGTATCGAGGAGTAAATGACCTTACATTCGAAATTCATCCTTAAGAGTCCTTGTAGCAGCATTGAAGAAGCGTTAGTTTCACAAAAACATAGTTCTCACGCTGAAAGCAGGAGCTGGAAATGGGAGTTGTGGAGTGTTTGTTGCATGGTTCCATGAAATGTACGAGGTTTTCTTGCAATATTTAGTGATCGATAAGGTTGAACCTCAACTGACATTAGTTTATTTCAACTATCCCAAATTATTTGATGGAAATTGAATGTAAAATTTACATACACTTATTTAGTTGTGACTTTTTGGTACGGTCTCAGGAATCTCATGATCAGCTCTCGTCTTAAGTGTCTCCGGCAAGAAAAACAGATCATGCATAGGTGTCATGATCAATAGAAGAATTATTTCCTTCAAAGCGAAGAAAAAGTAAAATCTATCCTTCAAATATTATGGATCGTGACGGTTCAGAATCGCTATCTCTTTTTGGATACTGGCTCCGAAGAGAATTCCAGCTCTAAGCATATTCGTTGGATGCCCGTGCGGATCCAAACTAAAATTTATGTTTTTGAAAAATTCGTTTTTTCCCCAGAAAAAGGAATGTAAATCCATTCCAAGGTTGCAAAATTTACGCGAAATATTAATTTTTGTGTGAGAGTATTCAATATGGCCGTAAAATTCGTGTCCACAATTTTGCTGGCGAAATTTTTTGTAAAAAATGTCCAGAATTAGTATAATTTGGTGAATTCTTGCAACGATAAAATATAGTCACGTCTAGTTTTTTAAAGATATGCCCTCACGGGTGCAGAAAATACACGCACAAAAAGTCTGCCGTGCTAAGGAAGAACGCCGTATAAACAATCGAGAGTTGCCAAATTTCCTTCGATAAGATGTTCATTTTTAAAGAAAGCTATGAACATTTTTCTTTGAATTTATCAGGAGCTTTTGGTGAAATTGCGAATTAAATTATCTGAAAAATTGGAAGAAACGTATTCATAAATTTACCAAGAAATGTGTGTTTTATCGAAGGAAATTTGGCAACATCTGAATGTTCCTACGGCGTTTTTCCTTAGCACGGCAGAAGTGCTGTTACGACAAGAGAACTTTTAAAAGATGACGCGTTAGTGAGAGAATGAATATGAATTCGCTGCTAACAAACACTCCTACAGGAGCAGTTGTACGTATCGCCGGGAATAACCAATACAAGCCGGGACGTGATGAGACCTTGAAATGAATAGGTACAGGCACAGAGGTGGAGAGGAGACCTAGAGACCCAGAAGTGGCTGAGGACGCGAAGGCGAGGGGGAGAAGGCCGCCCAAAATATGTGTAAAAGCAACAACAGTCGGCACCGGTTATTGACCCCAACCCTGACCGTGTGTGGTGTGCGGTATCGATGAACCTGGCCTCTCCGCCGACTTCCTATACACTCTATTCAGTCGCGCTTAGCAAGAACCGCATATTTACATCAACGTTTACCATTCAAGTTGCGTGGTTTTACTCGCGGTGACGATATTTTCCTCTACCTACGTACTGCGCATCGGCAAACTAGTCTACAGGGTGACCTAAAAGTCCAGCACCACCCGTATCAAAACTACGGGATCTTAACCTTTTCCAGAGAGGTCCGCTTAAATTTTTGGGGTACCTCGAAATTCGCTTCCTTTGATCTAGAGGCACTCACAAAATTTCAAGTCACTGTACCAATTGGTGCAAAAGTTACAGGGGTGGTGCCTGATTCGAGTGGTGTGGGACTGTGGGACCTTTGAATCACCCTGTATATTAAACCCACACGAATAAAGATGATATTTTTAAACGTCGTTTTTTTTTAGCCCGTGGGTGAATCACCTGTGTGCTGTGCTTCCAATGCTAGGCCGAGTGATCAAAATGATCCCTACTTTTCTGCACAACTTTTTATTTTACTTTAGTAACTACTTTAAAACTTTTCCATTCATTTTGCGATGACAATGAGAAGAGATTGCACGCCAAAAGAAAGCTGTACAAAATTTATATGAGACGGCACACCGTAGTTTTTTCCCTACTTTTTTCCCTTTTTTTCTTAATCTACTATCGCAGGTCAACTTTTCATCCGAAATGATTACAAAAAAACGGAATTATTTTGAGTCGGCTAAGAAAACGTTTCATGAAAATGGGGGTCATTTTGTTTCAAAAGCCACTATTGAGCTTTTCAATACAGCCTGAAAGAATCATTTTACGAAGATACTCTGCAAACAAAACTCCCAGAAACGTATATTCGATTCACATTTTTGAATGTTCATGTGTAGAATAAAAACCCATCGTTTTGCATGGAATTCTCTCATAAAACTTCAAGTCGACGCAGTTCAGGCTGTAAGGCTAACAGATCAAAAACCACCTAAACATTTTCCGAAGCTAAAGAGAAAATGATCTCCCTGTTAAAAAAAAAAAAAACCCTCTTCTAAAAATTCTCACAAGGAAATGAAAACTTTTTTTTCCGAAAAGACTCCACTAAATATTTTCGGATTTTTGAAAATTCATCCTCGAAGAAACGAAGACACCATAATTCTAGGAATACCCTAGCAAAATCGCTAAAAAGTTAGCTGAAATAAAAAGCGCCTGAAAAGATGGCCATTTGATGAACATATCTATTCATGGACGAAAATAATTTCGCGTGTTAAATTTACATTTGCTCATCGATGAAATTATTTTTTTTAATTAGAAAAACTTTGGTTAAAAGTTTTTCTTTTTCTACTCCTTTGTGGACCCTAGAATTTTATTTCCTTCCTTATTCGACCGGTGAAAACGGAGGAACGTCACATGTTTCGCTTCAATCCAGCGCGTGAAAAAATACCGTTATCATGCGAAACTTACCTAGTTTTTATAATCACTTCCCAGTTGAAAACACTGTGTAAACTTTTATTTAAAAAAACCAACAATGCTCTCTTTTTCGACGATTCCCGGAATGAAAGAGCCTTGAAAACCGAACCGAATTGGGATAAACTTAAAAAAAAAAACAGGGGGGTCGCGAGAGAAGAACGGAAATAGCGACGGTCGTTCGGAACTATGATCGCGATAAGACGTTGACCGGAGACTGGCTGCTTCCTTCTTTCTTAGTCCCGCGTTAGAGTCTCCTCTTCCTCGACAGTTACTCGGGTGACGTCACAGCGAGCCAGCCAGCGCATCGCATTCCTTCAAAAATACCCGTGTCTCTCCGTTTATTTACACACAAGTGGAGGACCTGTTTCCCTGGGCCCGTTTCGTAATGCTCTCTAATCTTGTATAACGTTACATCTCTTTCCTACAGCCCTCTCCCCGAATTTCCGTCGACGAATTTTTCGCGCTCATTGCACCAAGGCCAAAATGATGTGCTTTTTTCATTGAAAAAAAGTCGCTTGCATCTAGAATCCAGACTCTTAAAAACATTGACAAGAAAAAATACTCTTGATTCAATCGGACTTTTTGCTTGAATCAAAAGGAAATCCGCTTTAGTCAGGAGACTCGGCTCTTCGATTCAAGAAAAAATCGGATTAAATCAAGAGTATTTTTTCTTGTCAATATTTTTAAGAGTCTGGACTCTAGATCCAAGCGGCTTTTTTCCAGTGCATAGGATTGATTAATTTTGTGAAGTTTCATTTTTGTCTTCTCGTGGTGCGTCCTTTTTTCAAATGACCCATTTTTCAGGTGTTGTCGAATTTACTCACTTTTTCCCTAACACAAATAATCTCAAGCACCGGGAAAATGAAGTCATTAATTTGATATGTTAAGGCAGGCTCACATTTCAACAGCCTCAAGATCGGCAAAAAGTAATGATTTACTGCCACTTATTTTCAGCTGCATGTGCCTACCGTACCTGCCTTAAAATTTGTGGGGATCAGAATTTTTTCCTCTGTACTTTCTCATTTTTGCCGGGGCAAATCTTCATAATTCATCCTCAGGGTCTGTTCCCAAAGTTATAATGTTGAATTTTACTCGTTTGATGATCTTTTCATTGTGGTATCTCAGGGATCTCTTTAAACCTATTTCTAAATCACACTGTAAATCATAGGTATATGGTTACCCATGGAGGGGATGCTATTGAAAGAATGACCCTGACATGAATGTTTTTTTAGGAACCCTCTTATTATTCTTCTTTGCTAAGGAAAAATGGAAATGCCAAAAGGAATTATGTGCATTGGGTTTGCATGAGACATAGTTTCTTTTAGCATAAATACGTCCAAATATTCGAATATGCAGTCGAATAAACATTCGAATATTTTGAATTTTTCCGGCCAAAATTTTCATCTTTGAAGAAATTTACAATTATTATAGCCTGAAAATGTTAAGATTCTTTTGATGAAATTTTGGAAAAAATCAAAGGGTCACACGTTTCCTATAGGAGCCTCATATGCTATCGAAAAAGACTTTGCAACGGCTGTTGGCTCATACGGCGTTTTTCCTTGGCAGGTCAGTATTGATATTTACACTACACTTTGGAATTAGGAGCTGCAATTTCTGGCTTATCCTTAAAAAAACTTATGTGCATATGGAAACAAATGGTTCGTACGTTTGTTATAGACTGAGCCAGTAGTGCACCTGTTCCAAACTTCAGCTAGAGCGAAAAGAAGAGTTGTTCCTTGTAGAAAATGGCTCAAAAATCACAAATAGTGCATTGGAAGGGCCTGAAATACACTCCTAACTTCACAATCTGACTAAAAAATATGCGTTTTTAAAAACCTCCTGCTTCAAACCTGATACTACGTCACAGGTGAACATTTCATAGGAGGAGTCATTCCATCCACACTTGCGCACTACGTTGTCACACAATAAGCCTGACGCTATCGCGCACAAATCGTAAGGTCCATCCATGTCACCCGACCATAGTGTTTATCAACGCAAAGATAAGGTAAATATAAAAACACCGGTTGATAAAATCTCGTATATTCACGTGTGTTTTGACGGGTTGATGTCGGCTATGTTGAATATTGTGGAGCATCCTAGTGCGCAAGGGCTGGGTGCAACGACGCCTCACAAAATGTTCACCTGTGCCTAAATATCGTTTTTTCATCTGGAAGCTTCAGAGATCGCAGATTCCTCACGCAGATTGTGAAATTAAGAGTGTATTTTAGACTTATTCAATGCGCACATGGTAATTTTTTAGCCATTTTCTACTAGATAAAATGCTTGCTTATGCTCCAGCTGAAGTTTGCAACAGACTCATTCGGGGCTACAATTTTTAGCTCATCTTTAAAATGAGAAAAACACCAAGAAATGGTCCGAACTGTATGGAACAAGGTAGTGAAATGGTGCTGGGTCCACATCATGTATTTATAGATCGTTATAGATTTCTCGGCGTGACCTCAACTTAATATTCCAATGCGACCTGCCTGAGCTGAACACTCTTCCCCCTCAGATGAATCTTTAACTTGATTCGCTTTTTAAGTTAGAGCTTTCGAGAAGGGTATGAGAAAGGACGGTGCGACACGCTGCCGTGCTAAGGAAAAACGCAGTATGAATATTCGAGAGTTGCCATATTTCCTTCGATAAAGTGTTTATTTTTAAGGGAAGTTATGAGTATTTTCCCTCGAAATTTTCAGGAACTTCAGGTGAAATTGCGTAGAACACGATCTGAGAAATTGAAAGGGAAAATAGGCATAAGTTTACCAGGAAATTCGTGTTTTATCAAAGGAAATTTTGCAACGCCTGAGGGTTCATACAGCCTTTTTCCCGTGGCACGGCATCACGGGTGGCCATGAAAATACAGCTAGAAGGGCAGCAGTTGGTCATCTTTGAGCTGATGCTTGAAATCCCCGCGAGCCGCGACCCCCACTCAGCCTGCCATTAGTAATTTCACAGGGAATCGACTCAAAGTTCGCTTCGAAAAAGTGCCTGTACAAAATCTTACGGGAGAATCTGGCAGTTACCTTTCTGGTAGCTATTCTTCTATGGCGTGGCGCGACGAGAGCTGAACAAGGGAGTTCACCGGTTCTGAAAAACCAAAATTGGGGGCTTTCGGAGGCTTTTAGGGGAGTTTTTTCAAGAAAATCGAGGACTTTCTTTCCCCAAAATAGTGAGAGAAGTTAGAACGTTAGAAGGCGTATTTTATACGACTAATTTTGCAAGTCATGTTGAACCGATGAAAACATACGAAAAACCAAGCAACGCTTCAGCTATTTTATTCTTGGTTATACCGCGCCGCCGCGGCTGGCGGGAAAATTTGAAAATGCCGATGTTTAGGACGATTTTTGTCATTTTTCGGGACCTGAATCAAGAAAATTGGGGATTTTCCGGGATATCGGAGATACCCTTTAAAAATCGGGGATAATCGGGGACATTGGGGACTGGTAGACACCCCTACAGTACCTGTATAGCGAGAGTATGGACAGATCGCTTCATGGTGGGCTTAGGGGTTTTACCGACTGGCGGAACGGAGGAATCCATCGTTGGAACAAAATTTCACTGCCAGTCTGCAGATTCCAATTCTAACCAAGATGGCTAAGAATGTCCAGAAATGAGCGTTCTTCCGCGAAGTTGAGTAAATTTATGCAAAAACTGAGTCAAACACGTGCTTAATAAAGGATGGTTCGTAACAATGGTAATAGTAAATCGTTCTGGATAATTGAAATTCATAGGTTGGCTGCATTTCTGGGCCCTAACTTTATTCGCAGAAGCATCAGTGAGGGCCTGATGGATTTTCGGAGTTTCAGATCTGTCGGTACTCTCCCTATACAGGTACTCTAGGGCCCAGTGGCTATACTCTCTCAGTATAGGTACTTTAAGCTGAGCGGGCGGGAAAAAAGGATAAAAATCGGTTTGCCAGTGGCAAGAGCCGGAGTGGGAAGTGGGAGCCGGGTTCCGGGGACGGGGAGGAAGGTGAATTTTAAACGGCGGACGGCGGATGAGGCATAGCGCATCGGCGTCGGGATCGGCTTCGGCATCGGAGGTCATGCTCCTGCTCGGGGTCTCTCCGGGCGAGCGCCAGCGCGACGAGTCCCGTTACTCCTGCACACATCCGCGCATGCGCACGCTCACCATTTCACTAACCGAGAGACCGGCTTTAACTTTTACACGTCCCCGCCACCGCCGCAACCCACTCCCCGCCCCGCGCCGGCTTTTCCGCATCACTGGAAACCCCGCCGGATTCACCATCTCGATCCAAATTATTCATCAAATATGGAAAGAGCTGGCAACGCCGAGAAAAAAGATTGGTAGAATTTACTAAAGTACTTGTAAAGCGACAGTATGGACAGATCGCTTCATGGAGGTCTTAGAGCCCAAAAGTGCAGCATTCCTTCTAACCATCTTCTGACACACAAAATTTCACTGCTGGTTTGCAGAGTCTGCAAATTCCAATTGGACTACATTTTGCAATTTGGAACTATAAATTCTAGCTCAGTTTAAAAACAATGTATGTGCCATTAGTTTCCCAATGCATATGAGTGTTTTTTCATACGAGCCAAAATTTATAGTTCCAAATTGCAAAATGCAGTCCAATTCTAATCAAGATGGCCAAGAATGAACAGATATGAGCGTTCTTCCGCAAAAATGAGTGAATTTATGCAAAAACTGAGTCAAATTTGTGCCTTATAAACGACGGTTTGTAACAATAGTATTAGTAAATTGTTCTGGATAAGTGCAATTCATAGGTTGGCTGCATTTCTGGGCCCTAACTTTATCCGCAGAAGCATCGGTGAAGGCCTGATGGATTTTCGGAATTTCATATCTGTCCATAATCTCGCTATACAGGTACTCTACTGGAAACTCCGCCGGATTCCCCATCTCAATCCAAAATATTCATCAAATATGAAAAGAGCTGGCAACACCGAGAAAAGAGATTGGTAGAATGGACCACTAGACAAGGTACGAATGAAACAATCTGATACATGTTTCTTAACAAGAATTTCACGTAGAACACGATTTGCGCAACGAAAATTACTAAAAGCAAATCCTAACGGAGATACTTTTCTTTTATTTCTTCCCATTCCTAATCTCTTCATCGTCTCCATAAGTGTATTCAATTA